CACGCATTATCGATTGCCGACTACAAACCAAACACGAAGAAACGGGGGGGGGGGGGGGGGGGGGGGAAACCTTCTACTGAGTGCCGTAAATACCGTCGCAGCGGAGGCCGGGCGGCCTTGCCGACTAGCTGGGCGGATGGTGACGAACATGCATAATCAATGATGGATCAACATTTGACATTACCTCTGCGGTCGATTTCACTCGGACCCGAGATTGGTTCGGCATTGAGTATGGCATGATTCGGTACGAATCCAGACGTCACCTTTTCGCTGTATTTATGTATGTTAGTAACCAACAACATCCGAACTCTCCCGACCAATTTTTTTTATTTATTTCTGTATACATACGTACATCTGTATATATATGTATGTATGACATTTATTTAGGGGTTTGTTATCACTATGACAGTCAACCGATAAAGTCTAGTCGACCGACTCTCACCTGTGTATCGACTTTTAAACACAACAGCGGCTCCACCGACGTTTTTCCCGGTGATACCGGTGTTCAACATGTATCTGTCCAATTAACGTTTAACTTAAAGGAAAGAAATGGTTCTAAACCTCAGTCAACGCGAATTTCTGCATTAGTAAACCATTGTACTGACGCTCATGTTTACACCGATCTGTTATCGGTGGTATTCGATTACCACAGCGCCAACAATCGAGCTACTTCCGCTCTGAATACCGTTCCTACAACGTCATCTTTTGCTATATAACCTACCAAAAATCAAAAAATCTATTATATCTTCCCTTCTAACATGAAGAGTTAGTTTGTTACGTGTAATTGTTGACTTTCCTTTAGTCTCCAAATCGACATCCGCGAAGTACGTCTACTATGTTGATTACTGTGAATTAGTAATTGTCGCTCAGTGTGTTGTATACCCAACCTTAGTTCACGTCTGAGAAAGTCAAATCAAACACACACAAATTAGATTACAGATGATAACCGTGCATGCCTTTTGGTTCCGTCCGAGGTTCAAGGGGCCATTTACGGTTATAAAGGTATGTATCTGTATTCTCCACTCCAGCAACAGGCCACGGAGGGTCGAACGTGCGACGGAGTGTATAGAACACAAAAGCTCGCGCCCGCCGCGCCGCCGGCAAGAATAGACGGTGGTTGCTTGGATTCCAGGTTTGAACTTCGCTCTTGATTCCGTCAATGAAACTAAAAAATCTTGCAAACAGCAGAGAGGTAAGGCGAGTTGAGTAAGTTAGGTTTTACGGGAAAATACCCATATGTAGAAATTTCTTTCATGTCATAGACGCGTACAAGAATGTGTACAGTAACATATATTTTCTGTAGTTAGGGGGGGTCTGTTCACTTAACAAGTAAACAGTACTGGAAATGAAAGTTGACATCGCCTGGGATTTTGGATTGGGATATTTGGGGCGGCAGGCACGTTGTTATACGTTTTCGAGTTTCATTACCACTATTTACTGTACCACCATGTCTTCTTCATTTACAAGCTACTGGAAAATGGCAAGTTGCAAACTTCCTGTGTTCCCTGCTCGGAGCGTTTGTGGGAAGTTGTGTCTAATGTGCTTTGGTTTACATAAAGAGATGGTAATCAGCTGTGGGTGTGTTTCTTCTAACCGTGTCGACGGACTCATCAACAAATATTTAGAGGACACCATTATTATACTTTCGACTAACAACTATGCGCATCCATTGTCGTCCATGACTCTCTTTGTAGATGTAAATAACTTCGTTATCCTTCCATACTGTCGTGTAGTAACTTTTTCACCTTGTAACTGTGAACACAAGGGTCCACTATAAATAATGTTATATTTTTTCATACTTAAGAGACTGATACTCGACTAAGGTTGCAATCGACACAAAAAACCAAATTCTTTTGTTCATGCAACCTTAGTAGTATCAGCTTCTAAGGTGAATGAAAAAATACTAACATTATGTATAGGTGACCCTTTTCACAGTTACGAGGTGAAAAAAGGTTATAGCACGAACAGTATTTAAGTTGTGTTATATTGGACCTAAGTTTAGTTTAACTCTACAAAGTGGAGACTCTACCACTGATCACACAACAACTGAGAGCACACAAACTCTTGCTTAAGTCGAAAACATATCAACATAAAATCGAGCTGTCCTCCTACAATATTTCTTATAGTTTTGGTCCGTCCGACACGGTTAGAAGAACTACTTACCTTTCTACTCCAGCACTACGACATACACCATCCGCTTTTCATGTCACAACCAAATGTCACATTTGTATTTGTCTGGCCTGTTAAAGAACGTTCCGACAAAGCCTGCGCACAGTCTATCACATAACTACATTGCACACGCACATCCTTGCCCATTTTCCGAGCTACTGTAAACATTAAGAGACGACAGCTATATCGGGTGTACCAGTACAATAGGTGGAGTAATGAAACTCACAACGTAAACAACGTCCTGCCCCCCAAATATCCGCAATCCCACAGATCCAGCCGATCGTCATATTTCGAGTTCCCAGTTACTGTTGTACTTGTTAAGGTAGAACAGATCTAACGTGCACAGCAAAATATATTTATGTACAATTTCTTTACCGCGATCGACATGGGAAGAAAATTTCTAACGATATTATTTTTCCCTGAGTCAAACCTAACTTACTCAACGACCTTTACTCCTGTTTACAACTTTATTAGTTTTATCCATCACACGACACAGGACACAAAGACGACGATTATCACACACACAAACCCCACCTAACACTCCCAACACGCGACAACAGCCACACACTAATCCCTCACTTTTTTGCGTTACATCACATGTCCCACGTTCGACCCTCTGCCTATTCTACGGACACACTAAACTACATACTATCACTTATGTCTTGAACTCAGGCTATCGCGCCCAAAATGCAAGACATCCATCGCTTTAATTCATTTCGTTGTGGTATCTATCGTTATCCTAATTCTCGCCGGTGAACTAGGTTTGGCTTATTACAACACTACACAATTCCCTTATCCCATTCACATAATCAACAATAGTAAACTACTCTGCGTACGAATGTCGATTTATACAGGACAGTCAAATTACACCCTAAAACGTACCTTCCTGATTCACAGAGGAAAATTTTTATATCATCTTCAAGCCAGGATTTACACACAATATTTGCGTTCCGTTGTAGGAGAGACAACTTATACGTCTCAAACATACCATACACCCACCACACCGCAGCACCACACACCACTCTTCGGTAATCGGCAATACCACGATAACAGATACGGTGGCCTCCAAATCACACACGTCAGTCATGGTTATAATGTCAGGAAACATTCCATCAACACGACTACGAGATTCCCATTATCCACACACCATTTACATTTACGCACTACATATCTCTTCTATACAATACGTTAATACATCAAACAGACAAATAATGTTGAACACGGTATCACCGGAACCAACGGTGCCTTCGACGAGTGGGCACTTGTTTTAAAAGTTCCGAAACACAGCGTGAGAGTCGTCGACGTAGAACTTATTCCGAGTCACAGACTCGGTCACTGGTCACTCAGGTCGATAACAAAACGTTCATACATAAATGCAACTGCCTATACATACCGACAACACATATAACCAGATGTCAACGCATGTTATCACGACAAACAAAACCAACCAAAATTTGGCCGGTCGAGCAGTCCACCGGATTGTTGGTTACTCAACACTAACCACTAGAATACCGCGAAAGTTGTTCACTTACACACGACCACACAACATCACACCAATCCCCCCAAGACACGGCCCATACCAAATCCGGCACCCATCGTCGAGATAGAACATAACAGAACGGCCAACAGAGAACAATAATAGTCCAAATGGTTGATCCATCATTGATACTCATTTTTCGTTCGCTCCAGCTCCTCATAAATGTTCAGAAACTGGACAAAAGTTAAACAATTACAAACCACAGACTGTCTGTGTCATGGCGAATACAGTCACTGGTTTACTTAAGTCTGTAGGCCGTTTTTGTGAGTGTGGACAGACCAGCTACAGGTTAGTTTATCCTGATCAATCCGATCTCCATTCAGAAAACACGCATTTTAAAAGGTTTTTCGCCTACCGTCTTGTCTGCAGACCGGTATCAGTATGTTGTTACTTTGGCATCATTTAAAAACGTGTATTACAATTAAATCACGGTAAAATATGTTGATTTTGTTGTAGTTGTAGCTCCCTTGCCAGCGATTCTCTCTGACCATTCAGCAGTCGAGTGTTTACGTCACTAGTTTAGCATATTCAGCCCGGTTGTTGGCCCGGTAAGAACCTCGATTTTGGAGGGCCAGAAAAAATGTAAAAAAGTAGCCCTGAGCCGGACTAGTGGAAAAGCGCCATTAGCGTCTGTGCGTAACTGACCATATTGACACATCTTTCATTAACACTTGATAAAAACAGCATTAAACTAATCAAAATGGTCTTTCCGTTGTTTCAAACATCACCAACTCTGGTTTGGTCCAAATAAATCCTTAATCCACTGAATTGGACAGGAACATTTGTTGGCTCTTTGCTCTGTTTTCCCCACTGTCATCCGGCAGGAGGAGGGACAGTGTGGAATTACTTGCTCTTGGGGAGCAGACCAATAAATGACCAAAATAAAATGACACAATGCTTCCAGAAAATCAACCTCCTCAATAGTGGATATATTTTTCCAATTGCTCAATCTGGTATCCATGCATCTCTCTTCATGAGGCTTTGTGATGTACCTCCAGCTTATCATAGAGTATTGTATTGTGCTCTTTGTCAGTAATGTACTGTCACAGTTTGTTTTAACTCGGCCTCCTCTGTTGTCTGTTCGCAGCGTTCACCATGATGATCATCTTGGCTCTAATCCGCATCGGGAAAGACTCAGGGAAGGGCCGCCCAGCGGTCGCCTCCTTCTCTGGGGTGCCCAACCTGTTTGGGGTGTGCGTCTACTCCTTCATGTGTCAACACTCCCTGCCCTCCCTGGTGACGCCCATCTCCGACAAGAAGCGTGTGGGCACCCTGGTGTTGGTGGACTACACCCTGATCCTGGTCTTCTACGTCCTGCTCTCGTTCACCGCCATCTTCTGCTTCGACAGCACGCTGCTGCACGACATGTACACCCTGAACTTCACAGACAACTGCGACGTGTTGAATATTCCAATCCTGCGCTACTTCCTGGGCCTGTTTCCAGTTTTCACCATCAGCACCAACTTCCCCATCATTGCCGTGACTCTGCGCAACAACTGGAAAACCCTGTTCTTTCGGGACGGAGGCACCTACCCTTGGGTGGTAGACCGGATCGTGTTTCCCCTCATTACCCTGGTTCCCCCAATCATTGTGGCGTTTTTCACAAACAACTTGGAGTCTCTGGTGGGAATTACAGGAGCCTATGCTGGCACAGGCATTCAGTACATAGTCCCAGCCTGCCTCGTGTATTACTCTCGACGCCATCTGGAGCCCACGGTGGGCCGGGATGCCATCAACAAGCACCGCTCTCCCTTCCGCCACACCTTTTGGGTCGGGTTCGTTTTAGTGTGGGCTGTCTCCTGCCTCATGTTTGTCACAGCCAACATCATCCTGACTGACACCAAGAAATAAAAACTCACTGTTCCAAGAACTTTCTGAAGAAATTATGTTTGGCTAGTCTGTTTGTACACAAGGCCTTACTTGCTGCTGGTTGGACAGGATGCCTTTTTGGTTGACTTTTGTTGAATATATTAAATAGTTCGTAATATAATCAAGTTTGTGAAAAGGGACCAAGCGTTTCTGTTCCATACCAATTGCTGGAACAGTGCTTCACAACAAGGAAAGGTATCTTTAAATGTTCATTTATTCAAAGGACTTTTTTTGGCAACAAACACATGATAGTTGGAGATTTCCACGAAGATTTGCACATTAAGAGAAATATATCTTAAGAGTTTGAAAGAACTAGGTTATATAACTTGTTTTCAACGTTGGAAAAGTTCACGGTATTGTCTGTAAGACACTATTTGATGACAAGACAAACGCGTTGTCTTGTCAGACTGGCACCTTAAGAAACTTGTGGTTTGTCCATCCTCTAATTCTTTATTTCAGTATGCCTCATTCAGATCCTAATATTTTGAAAAAGGTAGGTTGTTAAGATCCTGAGGGTTCCTCTGGACCTTTAGGTCGAAATGTTACATTGTTCCCAAGCAATTGAAAAAGAATAATAACTACAAGAAAAGAGCTTGTCTGATCAGACTTGTGTTTTGTTTGCTAAACTGTTTGGATGACGTTTATCCATTCATCAGCGGTGGCTGCCCCCCGATCTCCTCGTCCCCTCGTGAACAATGAAGCTCAGTCAGTGACAGATCCACTGACTGATAGGCCTCCAGGAAGAACTCCATCTCTGTTTATCAGCAGCCTCTCGTGTATGAAGTTCACACACAGGGCATGTCTCCCGTCTTTTACTGCTCAGCACCCATTCACAACTCTGTCAGCATCACAGTGGATATATCACACTGCCCAACACCTGTCAGGATAATAGTGATGTACAGCGCTTAAGCTGTGGCCACAGGGAAGGCATCGGTAGCCAACAAGTGAGGAGTGGTGAGCCAAATGTGACGAAAGAGCTTTAAACACTACCCACTATACTGTAGATTAGAAATGCTGAGTTCACTGACACCTGGCAGCTTCATATCCGAGTTGTGCCTTTGTTAATAGACTTTATCTTTGGCCTTCATCTTCGACTTGATCTCATTTTCTCAAATGTTTATAATTCTTTATCATCGGTGTCATACTTCTAAAAGGGTTTGTTTAGTCATATTATTTAATTGGACGTCTAGCTAAATTTGGCAGTGCACATTATTTGAGATGAACAAGATTGAAATGGGGGTAAATGGACACTTATAGCATTGAAAATGTGTTTCTTTTATAAATTAGCAAAAACAGCAACAGCAACAGCAATTGTATGTCTTGAAACCTGTCAGGCCTATTGTTATTGTATTGGTACATGTCCATAGTAGAAGTGTAACACGGTCAGGTGTTGAAAAATGTGACCACAACTTAACCAAGTGTTTTAACTTCTCACTTGTGTTGCTCACACAAGAGCAATAACATGATATACAACTGAAAAGATGTTGTCTGATGGCTCAACATCTTTTCCTTAAATTGAAATGGCTACTTGGTTAAATGGTGCCACCATCTACACAGCGACACATCCAGGGCACAAACAGCTTCTTCCTGTAGATGTATCCTCTTAAAGCATCGATAATCATAACATATTTCCCATCAATATGCACCCATACTTTTTCATTCAGTGTACTCGAACTTCCCAAAACCAAGAAAAATAGATGACTACATAGATTAAGTGAACATCTCAAAGGTTGGTGGACTCATATGGACACATTTGAAAAATGGTTGAAATTGTAGCAGCTGAGACTGAGATGTGACATTTCTACTTTGGGTCAATCTATACAAATAGAGAATACTACATAATGCAGTACCCTTTTCCTGTATATGTATCCTCTTAAAGCATTGATAATCATAACAAAAAACATATATCCCGTCAATATGCAAGCGTATTTTCTCATTCAGATTACTCTTACTTCCTTAATCCAACAATAAGAGATGACTCCATAGATTTAGTGAACATTTCAAGTTATATGGACACAATTTAACAATAACATTGACAATTGTGGCAGCCGAAGCTCAAATATACATATGTGTAATCCATATTGTTGGTCTATAAAAAATTATAAATGTCCCATAATGCAGTCCTCTTTACCTTGTGTTAAATATGATCACCACGCTCTGCTTGGAAAACATTGTGCACATTATGTCCCGTAAATGGCTTAACTGATGCTGTTAGATCTTAAGGTCATAACTTCACACACATTTGTTTTAAATACTTATACAATTTTGCTCCGCGTAAATGCCATCCAAGCATTAGGGGTGAGTTGTGGAGCATTTAGCGCGTTGGTTCTGCTTTTTCATCAACTGCCGTAATGCAGTGTACGGTAAATTGAAAGGTAATGTGCTGTGACCTGCGTGGCACCAAAGGTTTTTACTCATGCAATGTTGCAGGTCTTAGAGGTGCTATAGGTTTACTGTCACCTTCTAAGTGTGTACCAAATACCACAGCTTTGAGATCATCAGTTATCACGAAACGCAAAGCTTCTGTGTCCATACACGTCTGCTTTTGTCTAATCTCTGTGGAATCTGTATCATCCGCTGCATCCAAAAAAATATATATCATTCATGTTTGTGTTTACTTCTTTGCTCTCTTCTTTTTGTACTCTCCCTTCAGTCTGGAGACATGTATGTGGGATTGTGTTTGTGGCATTCTGTATGTGGGATTGTGTGTATGTGGGATTGTGTGTGTGGCATTGTGTATGTGGGATTTTGAGCGTTTGACCAATGGAAGATGAGATTCTGATGACTCTTGTTTGGAGTTGTGAAATGTGCCTTTTTCACGGGGTTTACTTTCTTGCCCTCAATTTATCGACTCTGCTTTTTATTCTCAGCTTGTCAGAAAAACATCTGCATGTATGCCATTTCATCTTATTGACAATCAGTGAGCCCAAAAAATATTCGTAATCCTTTTTATCTTTTTTTTATTTTTGTGTTTTATCTCAGTTCTTGTATCCTTGTTGTTGTATTGATGCCTTTTAATTTACTTAAATTTCTCATTTTTTCCTCATGTTTTTGGTATTTGTTTACAATAATTTGGCCAGCCTGTGATTCTATCCTTTATTTGAATGTTTACTGGCTTAATTGATGCTAGGTTTGATTATTATGATTCACTCGGTTAATTAAAGGGAGCTTGGGTTTTCTTACATTCAGTGTTGTTTTTCAGTTTTTGCCCACATGTCAATCATATAATAAACTCAAAGGCTTTTTTCTAGAGAATTTGGATTTGGGACTCGGTGTCAAACTTTTGTAAAGCAGACATGTTATGCTAATTTCCTGGTTAATATATGGATGTTGTGCCTCCACTGTGACACGTCTCCATGCTCTAATGTTCAAAAAGCTCTTTATTTTTCTCATGCTGCCTGTGCTGCTGCAGCACCTCTTTTCACCCTCTGTCTGAAACCAGAGCCCAGTCTGCTCTGATTGGTTAGCTGGCTGACAAACGATGTGTTGGAGCTCCAGCCAATCAAAATGGAAGTGTTACATAGTGATGTCTCTATGTTATTGAAGTAAACAAAGGAACACTTTATTTTTGAAAGTTTTCATTACAAAGAAAAATCATACAGAATGTCATTGAGCAGTCAAATACATACTGGAGATGCAACAGTGCACATTTAAACCAGACTGCCAAAAAAGCAGATCAAATATACCCCCCACCCAATAAGTGTACACGTTCTCACAAATGACACAAAAATTAAATAAACAAAAAACATACAAAGCAAACGACAAAATATATGCAAAACATACAATATTGCTTTAGCTTTTAACTAATTATTAACTTATATTAATAGGTTTTTTATATTTGGATTTTTTTTAAATGAATGGTTGATTTGGAATGCATTTAGTGCAAACCTGGCAACTTAAAGGAAGATGCAGACCAGCAGAGGTCAACTATCATTGAGGGGGAGTCCAATTCAATATTCTCTGTATCTGTCACACTGACATGTGCTGAGAGAAGATGAATGGCGGCTGTCGGGCAGTAATAATGGTTTCCTGAATCCTGCAAACTTTTGAAACCATGAAGCTGAGGAATGGTAATAAGTAACTTAGATGATTACAAACATGTCAGCGTTGACTCCTTGAGTAAAGCTGTGTTTCACATGTCCCAATATTAAGTAAAGCTGCCAGACAACACTATCATAGCCTGTGGGCTGGGTGGTGAAATCTACCAAAATATGACTCATGGTTGCTATAAAACCCCACAATTTTTTCTTTGAGGTTCAATAAATCGAATGAAATGTGGCACTGCGTCCTTGTTGAACTACGCATCTCTGACAACAACAGCTTTTAAAACGGTCAGGAATACATTTCTTTCATCTTGGCTTGTTTCCAAACTGCTTGTTTTCAGAAACAAATCCACTTATTTCCTGTTGCCATTACAAATGTGAGACTCCCCGCTGGGAATTGAATGCATGAATCAGAGCGGCTTTGCTGTGACTTTAGCCATATCACACTCTCGTATTCAGCTATACTCCTACACAATTTCACACACATTTGTATCTGCTCTCCAGGTAATTGGCATCTTTTTTAATTTATTTTTATACCTCCGTTTCACCTCAATCTTCAAAGCACGGCAGCAGTTTTTTATTGACACACAAGATTCCTGTTTTTATTATCAAAGCAAACCTCCCCCTTCGAATTTCAATCTCCGCAGGGCTGCCCCGCTGTCATTTAATTTACCCTCTGCCCTTTTATGTACAGTGGGGCAAAAAAGTATTTAGTCAGACACCAATTGTGCAACTTCTCCCACTTAAAAAGATGAGAGGGGCCTGTAATTTTTATCCTAGGTATATCTCAACTATGAGAGACAAAATCCAGAAAATCACATTGTCTGAATTTTAAAGAATTTATTTGCAAATTATGGTGGGAAATAAGTATTGGTCACCAAGAACGAAAATTCTGGCTCTCACAGACCTGTAACTTCTTACTTTAAGAGGCCTCCTGCTGTCCTCCATTGTTAACTGTATTAATGGCACTTGTTTGAACCAGTTTATCAGTATAAAGGACACTGTCCACAACCTCAAACATTCACACTCAAACTCCACTAATGGCCAAGACCAGCGCGCGTATCTGACTGAGAGTTCGTCATCTCCGTTCACTCCAATGGACCCTTTTTGTACAGCCAATGGCTGGTCGTGGGCCTCTCAATCGTTCCCCGAAATTAGCGCAAGCTAGCAGATGCTGCTAGAGTTGCAGGCCTAATAGACCGTTCGTGACGACTTTTAAGGTAAGATAGGAAGTTTAAGATTTATATTGCGATATTATCGTAATCTGATTCAAATTAAACATGTGTATTAAAGGAGTCAGTGGATTATCCCTAAATTAGTAGATTCTAGGGAACGTTACGATAACAGATAAAGCTAGGATAACGTCAAGTTAGCAAGCCACGTTGAACGCCTTTTAATTGTAAATTCCTTCTCTTAATGTCATTCGTCCAACGTATGTTGAATTAGAGAAGAGGGGCTTCTAAACGGGATTGTTATTGCGGGGTGGAGGAGTTAAATATAGCATAATATAACTGGTCGTGTAGAGTGAGTGTTTTTAGCAGAGCGCATATTGGTCCTTGTGTTTGTTGATATATTACTGTCTGTATAATGTTGCAGCTCAGCTGATTTTGGATTGATGCAAAGGGAGGAGGACTTAAGTGAGAGTTGAAAACACAAGGTAAGGTTTAGAAATACTACTGTTTATTAAGTAAGCTTACTACATGTATTCTATCCTGTATTATAGAAGTATCTATGGTTCGCTAACCTACTGTATGGGCCGGACCACATCCACCATCTCCACAACATGCCTGCACGGAAGACGCTGCAAACCGCCCTGTGCGACAAGTTCCTTCAGCATTCGCCTCCTCACCAAAGACGGAGCACAAGCCCGCGGCCATCAATTTGAGCATCCTGTG